AGGCGAAGGTTAAGGTGCTGGACAAGCTGGTGCCGCCGAAGGACAAGTCAGGGCTGAGAGCATTGCTCGGCTTCCTGAACTACTACAGGAAGTTCGTGCCGAACTTTAGCCGGCGAGCGAACCTCCTGAATCAACTGCTCAGGGAAGGAAAGCGATGGGAGTCGGGACAGGAGGAAGAGGCGGCTAGACAGGATCTATTAGAGGCAGTACGGACAGGCACACTGCTACAGATACCCAGGGTAGATGCTCCCTTCATGCTTTACACTGACTGGAGCTGCATGGGGATGGGGGCAGTCCTGTGCCAGGAGATTGAGCGAGAGGAGCGAGTGGTAGCATTTGCTAGCCGCAGCTGCAGCCCCACCGAGGCAAATTACTGCTGGTATGAAGGCGAGGGGTTGGCAGCTGTATGGGGCATCAACCATTTCCGGGTCTACCTGCAGGGGCGTAGGTTCGTGCTGGTAACCGACCATCAGCCCTTGATGTGGCTGATGACAAACCAGGAACTGACGGGACGGAATGCCTGCTGGGCGATCAAGCTGCTGGGATACGACTTTGAAATTCGCCACCGCCCGGGCAAGACCCTCCAGCATGCTGACGGTCTGTCTAGGAACCCTCCACCTGTGCAGCCCCTGGCGCAGCTGGTAGCCGTAGCACAGGTGCCGGCAGCTGGCTGGGGGCAAGAGAAAGTGGAGAAGATGCAGCTAGATGTCTGGGAGGATACCGAGACTCTGGAGTGGATTAAGGGAGGGAGCACGGAGGGCGAGGAGGCCAGTGAAAGGGCAAGGGGCAGGGGGCAGCACTACCGTTGGTACCAAGAGCAGCTGCAGCTTCGCACCAGTGAGGGATGGAAGATAGTGCCACAAAAGAAGGACAGGGAAAGGATCATGCGACGGGTGCATGGGAAGCTGGGGCATTACGGAACGGCAGACACCAATCAACTGCTGAGCACGATGTACTGGTGGGCAGGGATAAGGAGGGACGTCAAGGAGCTGGTAGATGAGTGTGCAGCCTGCAGTCGTAACAAAGCAGCACTGGAGAAGGCAAGGGAGGAGCTGCAGTCACTGCCGATTCGGGGACTGGGCTACGGCTGGTCGCTAGATTTGGCTGGGGAATTACCTCTGTCCAAGAAAGGCAAGCAATACATACTCGTGATGGTAGAGCACACTAGTAAGTGGGTAGAGGCCAGGGCACTGCCGAGCAAGAACAGTGGGCTGATTGCAGAGGCGTTCGTGGAGCAAGTGATCACCAGGTTTGGGGCGTGCGGGGAGGTGTTAACTGACCAGGGTACCGAGTTCAAGGGCTGCTTTGAAGAGACTTTGCAGGTTCTGCAGATCACTCACCGTGTGACATCAAGGTATCACCCGCAGTCGGATGGGTTAAAGGAGCGGCTGATTCAGACGCTGAAGAGAGGGTTGCGGGCCTACGGGGAGACGAACAAGAGAGGATGGGACCAGAAGCTACACTGGATCCTTGCAGGTTATCGCTTTGCCAAGCAAGCGGCATTGAAGGACATGTCGCCCTACCATCTGCTGTACGGGAGGCACCCCATCCTACCCGTGGATGCACCGAAGTTGCTAAGTGCGACGGTAGATGCAGACGAGCCACACCTGTGGGCTGAGCTGGCTAGGAAGAGGGCGGCCTACCTGAAGGAACTGACGCCGGCAGCGCTGGACAACCTCCACGTGGCGCAGCTGAGGGACGCTAGGCGTTATCAACAGAGGAAGGCAGGAGAGAAGGGATGCAGACGTAAGGGAGTAGAGACTGGGGAGGAAGTGTACCTGAGGCAGCCCAAGCGAGATACGCTAGACCTGCCAGTCGGACCAGAACGCTGGAAGGTGAAGGAGATGAGGCAGTCCGGGGTGCTGGTGCTAGAGGACGAGCGAGGAAGGCGCATCAAGGAGCACGTTACCAATGTGGCCGTGGCTGGAAAAGGGAAGGGTCAGGCTGAGGGTCCCGAAGCCAGAGTTGCCTGTGCTGGAACTCAGGCTCGGGAGGGGGCAGTGCAGCCTGAGAAACAAGGAGAAGGCAGGAGCAGCATCATCACATACACCAGGAGGAAGAAGAGGCAGATAGGCGGCACCGGGACAGGCAAGCAGGCATGAGAGGATGAGGGTGAGAGAGGAGGTGGAAGTACCTGTCACGAAGAAACAGGGAATTTGAGAAAGAGGAAGAGAAGAACAGTCGGAAGAGCAGAAGGAGGGGAGCTACTTCACGACAGCTGTCGCGCTATTAACACATATCCTGCGGCTAAGTGTGAATTCCACAGCAGCTTAAGGTGAGGTTGTACTATATTGCTGTTTGATTCTTGTACTCATACTTTCGTTTGTGTGCTTGGAATGTACTGTACATATATGGAGCCGAGCAGGGTGGAGAAGCTAGAGGAATTTGGTGGGGACAGGGTGGAGTTCGATTCCAGGCTGGGAATTCGATTCCAGGCTGGGAATTCGATTCCAGGCTGGGAATTCGGTTCCAGGCTGGGAATTCGATTCAGAGAATGCAATTCCAGCTGGAAGTCGGTGCATGCCTAGTGGGTGACTGGGACCCAGCTAGCACCTAGAAGCTATCGCGAGCAGCACTGCTGCTATGCGACTTGGCAATTAGAGTTAGCTTGTGGGACAAGCAACCTAGGCAGAAGGATGGCTGAGACTTAGGCAGGGGAGGATACCTGCTCCGTGCTTTTTGCTTGTTTGTTTCTCGTAATACTGCAATTCGTTTCCCAACCAAGGAGGCAAGCAGCTAGGAGAAGCTAACAGCAAACTGACGGAGCCCTTGCGAGGGAGGATTTAGACTTGTTGCAGTGCAGCCTGAGAAACAAGGAGAAGGCAGGAGCAGCATCATCACATACACCAGGAGGAAGAAGAGGCAGACAGGCGGCACCGGGATAGGCAAACAGGCATGAGAGGATGAGGGTGAGAGAGGAGGTGGAAATACCTGTCAGGAAGAAACAGGGAATTTGAGAAAGAGGAAGAGAAGAACAGTCGGAAGAGCAGAAGGAGGGGAGCTACTTCACGACATCCCTCATCATCCCTCATCATCCCTCATCATCCCTAATCATCCCTCGTCATGCTTCACCATGCCACATCGTGCCTCATCACCTCATTATGCTCTTCTCCATGATCCAAATACATGTTCACAACTCCCCTCTCCCTCTCCCTCTCCCCTCTCCACTGCCACAACCTCTACTGCCACCGCAAGGATCCCAGCTGCTGCCCTACTGACTTTTGAGGCAATTCATAACTTAAAAAGTCAGTCGACTCGAAAGTCCTCTCCACTACCACAACCTCTACTGCCACCACAGGGATCCCAGCTGCTGCCGCTCTGCTTTATTTTGTATACCGTTTCAACCCCATCAGAGCCTGCTAGTAGGTGAAGAATCAACCCTCTCTGGCGCCCATTTTTCTAATTTAGAGGTGGATACACATGCTTGCAGCAGGCCGGTGCACAGCATATGCAGCAGGCACATGGGAGGTGCTGAAAGCAGGCAGCAACACAGGTCAACCCCTACCAGGAGCTCAGTTCCCCCAAGCTCAGCCCCCAGGGTGGTCTCTCTGCAGAAATAAATACTCATCTTGACCGCCCTTCCTCATCCGTCAATGATCATTGTGTGGGGCGGGGCATGCTCGTAATAGGAATTCATTTAAACATTTTCATGTGCTTTGTGCACGACGTTGCATGCGAAGAAAATCAAACTAGCAAAATAGTGAATTCTGATTCGGCTTAATGTTAGCTGAGTTCTACTGGTTTCGCTTCTCATTCTTGTTACTCCAAACTTATTGTACGGCGCTTATGTGTTAGCGTTGGCGACGCTGGTGCGCACAGTAACGAGTATGATCTCTCTCGAACGGTCACCCATGCTTTCTGTCACGACGACTCAAGCACGACAGCCGCTTAGTACTCTAGGTTCTACCAGCCTTTCCCAGTCAGCGACGAGATTCTTTGTGTTATGTGCTAGCGCGAATACAGGGTTGTTTGCGATTGAAACCCTCGACATCAATCATTGCAGCGAAGTGTCTGCTTAGTACGAAGTTTACTGAAGTTAAGTCGTTCAGTACTAATCAGGCTCTAGACTACACAACTGGGTGGTTCTAGCAGCCATGGCGCATCTTCTAAGCGAGTTGGATCGCTTCGAAGAGGAGATGCGCGCGCTCGGTGCGGAATCCGCTTCCGCGAAGGCCGCTCCGCCTCCCGCGCACCTCATTGCGCAAGTGCCCCTTCCGCCCGCTCCGCCTCTCCCCGCTAAAGGCACACCTCCCGTTTCCCCCGCTCCGCCTCCCCCTCGCCCCCCTCCGTCGTTCCCCCCAGGCGCTTCTCCCGCGCGGCCCTCCATATCCCCTTTGCCTGCCCCGCCTCCTTCCGCCTACTCCCCCGCGCCTCGTCCGCTACCGCCACACGCCCTTCCTCCTCCACCTTCCGCGTTCCCCCCAACTCCGCCTTATCGCCCCGGCGGTTCTTGGTCACAGTCTCCCGCCGCCACTCCCCCTGCTGCGCATGTTCCGCCGTCCCCCCCTCTTCCCCCGCCAGCCTCAGGCTCAACCCCCCCGTTTCCGCGGTACCAAGCACCCGCGCGACCGTCATTTCCGCCCTTTCCCCCGCCCGCACACACAGTTCCGCCTTTCAGCAGCGGCGCGGGGGGAACTGCTCAATTTCCGCCTCTCCCGCCTTCCGCGCCCGCCCCCGCGCCTGCCCCTACGCGGAAAGTATACGCCGCTGCGCCCGTGAAAGTAACCAAGGGGGGAGATGCGGGGAAGGAAGGGGAAGCAGGGGAGGCGGAAAAGGGGTCGGGGGAAAAAGCGGGGGAGCAGCAGGCGGAAAAAACAGCAGTATCTGCAGGCAAAACCACTCCGCCAATCCCGCCGCCCCCTCCTGCCCCCTCCGCTTCAACAGCAGCACCAACACCATCACCACCACCCCCAGCAGCTTCAGCAGCAGCAGCGGCAGCAGCAGCAGGGCCTTCAGGGGGATACGGGGGCGGCTCTGCGCACGCGGGCGGGGCTGCAGGCATGGCGCAATACGGAGGGGGAGCTGGGTTCCCCCCAGGGGCAGGGTTCGGGGGAATGGGCGGATACGGGGGCATGGGCGGGGGAATGGGGGGAATGGGTGGGGGAGGGTATGGGGCAGCTGCAGGGGGGTATGGAGGAGGGGGAGCAGCGTTTGGAGCCGGTGGAGGGGGGTATGGAGCGGTGGGAGGGCAGTATGGGGTGGGGAGCAGCAACGGGCAAGGGACAACGCTTTCTGAGTTCCTGGTAAACCCTCAATCATTCTCCCTGCAAGTGAGGCTGCCTTTGGCTCGCCTCACTGCTTTTGACACGACTCAGTAACTTCCAGGGCATTTCCCTCTCTGAGTCTTTTTAGAGTTGACTTTTGAGTCGATTCAAACCTTTGGCTCGCCTCACTGCTTTTGACACGACTCAGTAACTTCCAGGACATTTCCCTCTCTGAGTCTTTTTAGAGTTGACTTTTGAGTCGATTCAAACCTTTGGCTCGCCTCACTGCTTTTGACACGACTCAGTAACTTCCAGGACATTTCCCTCTCTGAGTTTGTTTATAAGCCCTCGACACGTCTCAAATGCCCCCTTTCTCCTCCCTCCCCCCTCTCCCTCCCCCCTCTCCCTCCCCCCTCTCCCTCCCCCCTCTCCCTGCCCCCCTCCCCTCTCTTTCCAAACAGCCCATCCAATGACACGCCCTCCTATGTTTGCCTCTTCCATGCTCACGCGGGTTCCATCTCTCTCCTTCCTCTTTCCTCCCCCTCCTCGTCCCCCTTGTGTCCCTCATGACAGGCCAACCCCAATGCAGCAAGAGCGTCAGGGAAGCCAATCAACTCACAGGTCGTTTTGACTGTTTTCCCCCCTTACCACCCTTCCTCCCCTCCCCTCCCCCCCCCCCCCCCCCCCCCCCCCCCCCCCCCCATTTCACCCCTGTGTCAGGCCAACCCCAATGCAGCAAGAGCGTCAGGGAAGCCAATCAACTCACAGGTGAGTTGTGGTCGAGCTTTGACTGTTTTTCTCGAGTCACTTGTTACCGTGTTAGATACATACGCAACGCAAAAACCTCTGCCAAAAGGGATGAAGCGTTGGTCAGTCCGCCCGCTCACACTCCCCATCTCTTCCCCCCCCCTCTCCCCCCCCACCTGTCCCTTTCCTCGCCTTCCCCAATCAGGTGGAGCAGCTGTTTCAAAGGGATGCAGCCACGATCCACCCGGCGGCTCCTTAAGCCACTCTGTTAACCCTTTTCTTCTTTCAACTCCTCCTTTTTCCCCCGTCCCCTTGTCTCAAGTGCAGGCGGAGCAGCTGTTTCAGAGGGATGCAGCCATGATCAACCCGGCAGCACTGGAAGGAGTTAAAGCACCTGCACTGCTTTTTTCTGTCCCTTGTTAACCTGCACCTGCACCTGCACCTGCACCTGCCCCTGCACTGCTTTTCCCTCACAATTATCTGCTCTCTGCCCCTTGTTTCCTGCTCCCTCCCCCCCCCTTGACCCCTATCAGGCGGAGCAGCTGTTCCAAAGGGATGCAGCCATGATCAACCCGGCAGCATTGGAGGGTGTTAAAGCTGCCCTGGCCAGTAACGTGCCACTGGGCATGGCCGGGCAGGCTGCCGGGCAGCAAAAGAAAAAGCGGCCGGTGCCGAGAACAGCAGCCGGGCAGAAATGGGAAGATCCAACTCTAACTGAATGGCCCGAGAGTGAGTTTTTCCACCCCTGCTTGACGGATCCCCCCCAACCCCACATTTCCCCCATAATCCAAACCATGTACCCCCCATACCTCTAATCCCCTTGCCCACATTCCTCATATCCGCATATCATTCCCCTATGCCTTAGATTTCCATGCCCACAGTCTTCATATCCTCCACATGCCCTCATCACCAATACCCCTGCGGAGTGGTGGCACGACACATCCCTCAATGCTCCCCTACACCCAATGTTCCCCATACACATGCCCATCCCCATGCAGACGACCGTCGGATATTCTGTGGGGATCTGGGCGACGAGATGATTTTTGAGAATTCTCAAAAACCGACAACGTGCTGGCCAAGCCACGTTGCCCAGATCCCCATGAGATATAGCCACGTAAAAGAAGTAGTGTTTTGAGACGTCTCAAAGCACTTCTTCTTTCACGTGCCTCCCCTCCATTTCTTCTTTCACGTGCCTCCCCTCCATTTCTTCTTTCACGTGCCTCCCCTCCACTTCTTCTTTCACCCATCCATACCCCACTCCTCCATATCCGTACCCATCCCCCTACAGACGACCATCGGATGTGCTGCCTGAGGCACACCCCTCAATGCTCCCCTTCACCATACCCCATTCCCTCATACATACCCACACCCGTCCCCACACAGATGACCATCAGCTGTTCTGCCGGGATCTGGGCAACGAGGTGAATGATGACGTGCTGACATGACACAGCCTCCAATGCTCCCGTACCCGATACCCTTCATACACATGTATTCCCATTCTCACCCAGACGACCATTTTTTAGTCGACTAAAAAAATCGACTCATTACACATGTACTCCCATCCTCACCCAGACGACCATTTTTTAGTCGACTCAAAAATCGACTCATTACACATGTACTCCCATTCTCACCCAGACGGCCATCGGATATTCTGTGGCGATCTGGGCAACGAGGTGAATAACGACGTGCTGGTTAAGCCATCACACCACACCCCACACCCCCCCCCCCCAACCCCTCAATACCCTTTAGTACCCTTCAGTTCCCCTTACCATTCCCATGTGCCCACATACTCACATCCCCATGCAGACGACCATCGGCTGTTCTGTGGTGACCTGGGCAACGAGGTGAACGATGACGTGCTGGCCAAGGCATAACCCCACAACCCCCAACCCAACTGTGCCCACCCATACCTTCGATACTGTCATATCCCATGCCCTTACCTTCCCTTCCTCATGCAGACGACCATCGGCTGTTCTGCGGGGATCTGGGGAACGAGGTGAATGGCGATGTGCTGGCCAAGGCACAACCCATACTCCGCCCGTACCCCTCTACCCCTCACCCATACACATACCCATCCCCATGCAGACGACCATCGGATATTCTGTGGTGATCTGGGCAACGAGGTGAACGATGACGTGCGGGCCAAGGCACACCCCATACTCTCCACACCCTCTATACTTCCCCCTATAACCCCCCCATACCCCATTACCCCCGTAAACCCCATACACCTCCCCATCCCCACCCAGACGACCACCGGCTGTTCTGTGGCGATCTGGGGAACGAGGTGAACGATGACGTTTTGTCCAAGGCGTTTCAGAAGTACGCGTCGTTCAACAAGGCCAAGGTGAGGCAGTTAGTACAGGAAGGTGTGCAGTGGTGGGAGTGCGGTGGTATGCGGTGGCAGGGAGTGCAGTGGTGCTAGCACGCTGTGCTGGCCAAGGCGTTTCAGAAGTACGCGTCGTTCAACAAGGCTAAGGTGAGGTGGCAGGGACGGGGTGATAGGGGTGCGGTGGCAAAACAAAAGTGCGGTGGTGCGTGCTGGCATGGTGTGCTGGCATGGTGTCTTGTCCAAGGCGTTTCAGAAGTACGCGTCATTCAACAAGTCCAAGGTATGCTGTACCTATGGGCCATGGCAAGGCAAGGTGGGGTAGCTGATAGGGGTGCGGTGGTGCTGGTATGCTGTGCTGTCCAACCAAGGCGTTTCAGAAGTATGCGTCTTTCAGCAAGGCAAAGGTGAGCTGGCTGGTATTGGTAGGCTGTAGCTATGGACCTAATGGGCCAATTCGAGATGAGGCATGGTCCGCCTGGTAGGCAGGCATTCAGTGGTGCGTGTAGCAGCGAGGTTGTATTTAAGACGTCTCAAAAACAACCTCGCTACACGTGGCAATTCAGTGATGAGGCGCCTTTTGAAGCGCCTCAAAAGGCGCCTAGTAGGCTAGGCAGGCTTTTGAGGCGCCTCAAAAGGCGCCTAGTAGGCTAGGCAGGCTTTTGAGGCGCCTCAAAAGGCGCCTAGTAGGCTAGGCAGGCTTTTGAGGCGCCTCAAAAGGCGCCTAGTAGGCTAGGCAGGCTTTTGAGGCGCCTCAAAAGTCGCCTAGTAGGCTAGGCAGGCTTTTGAGGCGCCTCAAAAGGCGCCTAGTAGGCTAGGCAGGCTTTTGAGGCGCCTCAAAAGGCGCCTAGTAGGCTAGGCAGGCTTTTGAGGTGCCTCAAAAGGCGCCTAGTAGGCTAGGCAGGCTTTTGAGGCGCCTCAAAAGGCGCCTAGTAGGCTAGGCAGGCTTTTGAGGCGCCTCAAAAGGCGCCTAGTAGGCTAGGCAGGCATTCAGTGGTGCGAGCGAGCATGGTTTGTTGGCTGAAGCATTCCAGAATCTCTTTCCGTTTTGCCCTCACTCTGGCTCTAACTCAACTGCCCCACTCCACCCTCTCCCCCCGCCCCCCGCCCGTTCAGGTGGTGAGGGACAAGACCAGGGGAAGACCAAGGGGTATGGGTTTGTGAGCTTTTAATCCAACCCTTATGCTTCATCCTACCCTTTCTCTGTCCGCCTGGTTGTTCATTCCTCCGCCAGGTGGTGAGGGACAAGACTACAGGCAAGACCAAGGGGTATGGGTTCGTGAGCTTTGGTGAAGTGATGGACTGTGCTGCTGCTCTCAAGGAGATGAACGGTGAGTCAAGCCAGTCAATGAAGTCAACGGAGTCAATGGAGGGTGAGTAAGTGAACTGAGGGTCAGTTGGGGGTCTTTGCAAGTGATGGACTGTGTTGCTGCCGTCAAGGAGATGAACGGTGAGTCAGGATAGTCAATAAAGTCAACAGGGGGTGAGTGAAGTGATGGACTATGCTGCTGCTCTTAAGGAGATGAGCGGTGAGTCAAGGCAGTCAATGGTGAGTCAATGAAGTCAATGGTGAGACAATCAAATCAATGGTGAGTCAACGCTGGGTCAAGATTGAAAGAAAGGTGAGCTGGTAAGTCAGTGGGTCATGTAGTCAAGATTTGGTTAAGTGATGGACTGTGTGGTGCTGCACTCAAGGAGATGCAGCAAGAGTCAACAACGGTCAACGGAAGTCAACAATGGTCAACAGAAGTCAACATGGTCAATTAGGGTGCTTAAAGTACCTGGTTCTGTGCGATGTCCTTTGTTCTCTCTGCTTTCATGTGTTGCTGGTGTGCGCAGGGAAGTATGTGGGCAATCGGCCAATCAAATTGCGCAAGAGCTCGTGGCAGGAGAGGATCGACACGGAGGCTCTTAAATCTCGAAACCGGAGCAGCCGGGTAAGCTGCACCTCAACATTTGAATGCCTTCCAAACTTTCCGCGTTATGTGCTTTTTCTACAATGTTTGTTTTGGCTCTTGACGACCCCGTGCATGTGGTAACATTTTTTTCCCCTTTGTTTTCTTAAAAAAAACCTTTGTTCTTGTGATCACGTGGCTGGCTGCGTGTGTGACAGCCTAAGGAGAAGCGACAAAAGAAGAACTTTTTGCACCGATGACACTTGAAACCTGATGATACTGACAGCTCAGATTTACGTTATGGATGGATGTTGTTTTGATACCGATGTGTGTTGCATAATCATTGAAGTGACCAGTAAATTGGACATATTGTGTCGCCACAATGTTTTCAACAAGCATGTGGCTCGTTGGAATCTTACCCTATGCCAGAGTTACAGTGGAGTGAAATCATAGCCTTTATGGATAAAGATAAGCTATTAAACTTGAAAAAACACTTGTGTGTACGTAAGAAATAATGATCATGTATCTCAGCGAACAGTAATCGAGGCCCACAACAAGATGGATAACGTGTGCATGGTACAAAATTCGCCAGCTTCAAAGCTGCTGCTCCAACAAACCTGCTTCCCTTGTAGGCTCGGAGACGATCAGCCACACGGAACCATCCCGAAGCAATTCGGAAGCCTCGAAAAAGCTTACACTATTGCATGTCCGAACCAGGCGATGTGGTGCCGAGCCGGGCCAAGCAGTCATCCGCCTGGGACATTGAGTCTGCCCCTTGAACAGGTCCCAAGGTACCTTAGTGGATTCAGTCTGACAGAATCTGCTAAGCAGCTAACTAACAGAGTCTGTCAGCCTCCTAAGCTCTACCTCGTTAGGCTCTGTCTGTGCAGCTGAGCTTTTCCAAGAGTCATAGCTGGTCGTGCTGCATACTAAGACAGCTGATCGGTCGCCTGCTGTGCCAGTCCCTGCATTTACTAGGACAGCTCTCTTGACGCTTTCCTGACGTGTCTCGCTAAAGCTCAGTAGATTGTTAACGGATTGCCGCAGGTCAGCTACCCACGCGTGATCTCTCGTTCTTTCGGCTTCATCTCGGAGCCTCCCTCTTCCTGACACGTTACACTTGATCTTGATTCCTTTCATTTCTTCACGATCGTCGAGTTCAGCATCTTTCGGCTGGCGACCGATCGTCAGGATCGCTGTCTTGGTCCGCGTTTGTCTAGATTCGAAACGCAATCCAGCAAGACGGTCAATTTACGCTGACGACGGATCTGAGCCGTCGATCAGTACAGTTCAAAGCCTGGGACCTCTCAGGAAACTCTTCCCTCCTCCCGTTTCCAAAATAACTTCCGAACTAGCGAATCCGCCGCGATTCCGTCTTCCTACCGGATTCCGTCCATCGTGTATTCTCCTCCATCCTGACTCCTGATCCGGACTGCGCTTCCCTCGTCCCTCGCTCCTGTGCCATGGCGTACACGCGTTCCGAGGTCGTGGAGGAGGAGGAAGCTTCCACAATAGAGCTACTGGGCGACTCGGTCATCCCAGTAGTTAATAAACTGCAGGATATCTTCTCCCAGCTCGGATCATCCAGCGCGATCGACTTGCCGCAAGTAGCCGTTGTGGGAAGTCAGAGCAGCGGGAAATCCAGCGTGCTCGAGTCGCTCGTCGGGAAGGATTTCCTGCCACGTGGATCCGACGTGGTTACGCGCCGACCGCTGGTGCTCCAGCTGGTGCAGGTGCCGAAGCGCGCGGACGGCAAGGCGGAGGAATGGGGGGAGTTTTTGCACCTGCCGGGGAAGAGATTCACGGATTTCTCCGCGATCCGGGACGAAATTCAGGTGATATATTTTTTTCTAAGTCTTTAACGCGTTGGGTAGAAACAAGATGCGGGACTGTTGATTCCCCTGCTTTTCTTTTTCTCATTTTCCCTTTGTGAATCTCTCTTTTTGGATTTCCCTTTCTGAACCCTTCCTGTCTAAACCCTTCTTTCTCATTCCCCCTTACTGAGTCCCCCTTCTTTCCTCTGTCCAATCGTCCCTTGTTCGGAACTCCAAGCCAAGTTCACGATCAACCCAAAAGAAGAGTCTTGCCACGTGTGTTCCCTGGATTCACTGGTTTTGAGGATCTTCAAACACAGACCCACGAGTCACTGGAGCTCCTAATCCTTGTGTGCTTGTGCTGACTGGGACGAGAATTTCCTCTATGGCTCATCCGCTGGCGCATTGCATTTCCCCTTCTTTGAATTGACTCAAAATCATAGCCTTGCCAGTCGCGTAATTCACTGGAGCTACTCATCCCTGTGTTCTTGCGTCCACTCAGAAGCGAAGTCGTCACGAGGTTCTACCACTGCTTTTGCACTGCAACTCTTCCGTTCCTGCTTCTGCTTTTCCGTGTCTACTGCTCGTTCCCGCACTCGCAGCAACATGGGCGTCATGGGGATCTGCTCGCCCTTCGTGCTCACCATCACTCCTGATCTTACTCTACTGCTCTCCTACTCGATTTCTTCCCTCTTGTGGTCTTTCTTCACCCGTCCTTCCCTCCTGTCTCGATCTTTCCAACCCCGCCTGCAGTTGGAAACGGAGAGGGAGGTGGGGATAAGAAAGGGCATAACGGAGAAGCAGATTCGGCCCAAGATCTTCTTGCCGCACGTGCTCATCATCACTTCTGCTTCTCCTCTTTCCCTCCTCCCGCCTCCCTCCGGTCTCAATCTCCCCTGCAAACCCTCCTGTCCCCAACCCACCCCTCCAGCTGGAGACGGAGAGGGAGGTGGGGATAAACAAGGGCATAACGGAGAAGCAGATTCGGCTCAAGATCTTCTCGCCGCACGTGCTCACAATAACCCTCGTGGACCTGCCCGGCATCACCAAGGTGCCCGTCGGCGACCAGCCCTCCGACATCGAGGCGCGCGTGCGATCCATGATCCTCGCCTACATAAAGCACGAGACCTGCATCATCCTCGCTGTTACCCCTGCCAATGCGGACCTGGCGAATTCGGACGCCTTGCAAGTGGCACGCATGGCTGATCCGGACGGTGAGTCCAACTCCTGGTGCTCGTGCACTTTTCACCAGTTGGTTGGGTTGTGGGACATGGGCGTTGGTCCATGATCCTGGGGAGGTGCCCTTGGGCGACCAGCCCTCCGACATCGAGGCGCGCGTGCGCTCCATGATCCTGGCCTACATTAAGCACGAGACGTGTATCATTCTGGGGGTCACGCCTGCCAATGCGGACCTGGCGAACTCGGACGCGCTGCAAGTGGCACGCATGGCTGACCCTGACGGTGAGTCTGGTTCCTGGTGTTCATCTGGCTGGGGGGGGGGGGGGGGTAGCATGGGGACGTAGTCACGTAGATAGATATAGAGGCGCATGTGCAATCCATGATCCTGGCCTACATCAAGCACGAGACGTGTATCATTCTGGCGGTCACGCCTGCCAATGCGGATTTGGCTAACTCGGATGCGCTGCAAGTGGCGCGCATGGCTGACCCTGACCGTGAGTGTGACCCACTGGTGTAACCAGTGGTTTGGTTGGGCTGTGGGACAGACAGCAGGTGCGCTTCATGATCCTGGCGTACATCAAGCAGGAGACATGCATCATTCTGGCAGTCGTTGCTGCAAATGCGGACTCGGCGAATTCAGGCGCGCACAAGTGGCGCGAATGGCAGACCCCGATGGTGAGTCAAAATGGTGGTGGTTCAATTGGGCAGTGGGGCAGGACAGAGAGGGGGTGCGCTCCATGATCCTTGCTGTCATGCCCATCAACGCTGTCTTGAAGCGCCGCCGGGAGGGGGTGCCGGATGGTGCGCTGCATAGGCAGCACTGCCTGTGAATCTTTGGTGGAAGAGTGAGTCCGTCCCTGGAAGATCTTTTTTGAGAATTCTCATATGCAATACTGTCACCACACTTTGGTGTTGTGTGGACGCACGGAAAGGCAGACATTGAAAGGGGGCAGGGGGAAAGGGGACTACCCAAGCGGATTGATGTGGGAAGGGAGGCAGGCATGATTTCCTTCTGGGTTCGCCTAAAATCCCAGGAAAAATAACATGAAACATGCTAATAGGTAGTCACTTTATGTTGCTTGCATGCCATTCTGTTAAGTCTCGGGTATTAAAGTGTTCCAGAACTTAGTTTGACAGTTTCTTGAAGTGCCATTGTGTTTTTGTCTCCTAATTCAGTCAGCCATTTCCTTCTCTGGATCTCGTCATGATTCCCTATGCTTTGTATGTGTGTCTGTTCCCCCGCACTTCTTGTTGCTATCCTGTCAGGGCATCGAACGATCGGAGTTATTACCAAGGTATGATGTTTCTTCTAGTTTGCAGATTACGCTGCTGCTCTTGCTGTTTGCTTCTCTTGCACATTATTTTGCATTCATTCCTTTCATGCGTGAAGAGTGAGTAAGGGCGTATCCCTGGGTGGTGGCAGGGCCACTGTAGATGGCAGCCTGCCACGAACACATAAAACGCCAGGTTGGTGTCAGGAAATTTGGCGCGCGAATACAGGTGCGTGATTGGGCAATGCCCCAAAAATGTCACTTCAATGCCACCAAATACGAGTCGCGCGCGCCTCGGTAAAAATGTTGGTGGCATGCGGTTTTCCCGCATGCCACCAACTCTGCCATCTACAGTGGCCCTGCCACCACCCAGGGATACGCCCTAAGAGTCATAACTTCTCCTTCCGTTTGCCACTTCAGCTGAACGAACAACTGTATACCAGGGAAGCAGGGATATCCTTTCATTCAGACGATGAACTGCCTCTTGTCATACCCTCCGCCCCTAATTCTTAGTTGATCGTTTCCTGCTTCATCCTGCAGGTTGACATGCTGTTGCTCCTAATCCTCTCTCCTCTTTTCGTTCTGTCATCCCTCCAGCTCGACATCATGGACCGTGGCACAGATGCATGCAACCTGCTGCTAGGGAATGTCATTCCGCTGCGCCTGGGCTACGTGGGCGTCATCAACCGCAGCCAGGAGGTGCGCTTGTGCGCGTGTGAACACTTTCATCTCACTGGGTAGTTGTGGAGAACATTAGGTGAGTGTGTGTCAACAGATGCATGCAATCTGCTTCTGGGGAATGTCATCCCCGTGCGCCTGGGCTATGTGGGCGTCATCATCCGCAGCCAGGAGGTGGGTTTATTTGAAGGTGGGGCTGAGGAGGTAGTGAGTGTTGGGGGCCGGGGAGGTGTGTGTGTTTACTGGGATGTACCCTTCTTCAACGCTAGAGAATGTCATCCCACTCCGCCTGGGCTATGTGGGCGTTATTAACCACAGCCAGGCCAGGAGGTGCGTTGATTCCAACGGAGACTTGTTTGATGAGAGTGCGTGAGGTGAGGTGAGGGATGCCTGCAACCTGCTGCTAGGGAATGTCATTCCGCTGCGCCTGGGCTGTGTGAGCGTCACCAACCGCACCGCAGCCAGGAGGTGTGTTCTTGCACTTGTGAATGTGTTTATTTCACTGGGTAAGTAGTTTTGACGTGCGTGCACTGGGGGTGTGTGTGTGTGTGTGTTGACGGATGACCACAACCTGCTCCTAGGGAATGTCATGCCCCTGCACGCGGACTATGTGGGCAGGGCATCATCATCTGCAGCCAGGAAACGCCCACATCATACCCTTTCTGCCCTTGTCCCATGTCATGCCTCTTCTCTTCTCCCCCCTGTCAGGACATTAACGCGAAGAAGAGTGTCAAAGATGCTCTCACCTACGAAGAGGCCTTTTTCCGAAGCAGACCGGTGAGTTCGAGAAGCTGTTTTGTTAAGGCTGAGGCGAGCAAATTGTTTTCCATACATAGCTGCGCTGTGCTTGTGATTCGTGAACTGGTGACTTCGAAGTTTTCATTTTCCATTTGTTTGTGAGGGAGACCCACTTGTGACTTGCTGGTGTTCTGTACTCCCACTCGTGACTCGTCTGTATGCCTCTTTGCATGTCTGTTTGCACGTGGCACCACAGGTTTACCATGGCTTGGCGGATCGGTGTGGGATTCCGCAGCTTGCTAAGAAGCTCAACTCGGTGAGTAGAGAGTCTAGTTGGTAGGGGCTTGCAGGAGTCATTACAGAAGGGAATTGAAATTAGTGTAGCAAGGGATGTGGGTAGAATGGGTTATTATTGGGTTATAATGGGGTACTTCTGTTTTACCATGAGTTGGAGGATTGGAATGGGATTCTTCAGCCTGTCAAGAAACTCAACCCAGTTAGTTGAGAGCCCAGCTGATGGCACGTTTGCTTCCGACAGTACCACGCTATGTGTCCACTAGTCTTTCAATCCCTTTCGTTAGATTCTAGTCCAGCACATCCGTCTGCTGCTGCCGGACCTCAAGGCGCGGATGAACCCTCTTCGAGGCTTATTAGCATTCACATGTCGTCATCTCTCCCCTCTGTGTGGCTGTCTCCTCTCAGATTCTCGTGCAGTACATCCTCCTACTCCTGCCGGGCCTCAAGGCACGGATCAACTTTCACCCTTCAACTGCTTCTGTCTCCGCCTCCATCCACCCCCCTCACTGCGTGCTTTCAGATTCTAGTGCAGCAGCACGTTCTTCTGCTGCTGCCGTACCTTAAGGCGCGAATCAACGCTCAAATGTTCATTCGATTCACATGTCCTTTCACGTCTTTGCCTCTTCATTCCCCCCCCCTCACTGCCTGGTTTCAGATTCTAGTGCAGCACATTCGCCTGCTGCTGCCAGATCTCAAGGCGCGGATCAACGCTCAGATGGTGGCGGTGCACAAGGAGCTTGTGGGGTACGGGGAGGCGGCAGAGCGGGTGAGTGAGTGTTGTGTTGCAAAGAGAGGGTTGTACACAGCAAAGGGTAGATGGGTAGGTTCAGCGTTCAGATGGTGGCGGTGCACAAGGAGCTCATGGGGTGCGGGGAGGCGGCAGAGCGGATGAATGTTGTTTGGTTTGAGGAAGTGCACAGAAAGGGTGATTGTTATCTTGTAGGAGATGCACATAAACGCTGATACGAAGGTTGCCTGTGCACAAGAAACTCGTAGGGGATAGGGGGGGATAGGGAGACGGCTGATGGATGAAAACAGGGATGGTGAGCTGGAGAGGAGGTGTTGAGATGGGAGGTGGGATGATGCGTGAAATGAGGGGGCAGGGACTGTGAGGTGGACAGAAGGTCCTGACATGGGAGGTGAGGGAGATACGTGAAGAAGAGCACGTTTCTGTCAAGGAGGCATCAGGTGATGAAACTAGTGTTTTGAGACGTCTCAAAACACTACTTCTATCAGGAGGTGCGGAGATGGGAGGGAGGTGAGGGAGAAACGTCAAGGAGAGCAAGGGAAAAGAAAAAAAGATACGTTTTCGTGAAGGAGGCGTCATCACCACTGTCTGTCAACGTCCCATGCACTCTGTGTTTGTGGTGATCCCCTTCTCCGGACTTTGTGCTCCTCTAAGGTGTTTTTGTGGGCCACGTTTGGGTGATTCTCCTCCCTGCTGCCTGTATGTGCTCCCTTCCCCTCAGGCCACCATGGGAGTTCTTTTGCTGAACATTCTCACCAAGTACTCTCAATGTGAGTTGCTCTTCCAACCCCCGCTGCTACATTTAAATTTGTATGTTGCAATAAGAGTTTCCGGGCTTTCAGTGCGTGCACTGTAAGTCTGCGTGAGTATTAATGAATCTACAGGAGATGTTTTCTAGCTTAACATCTCAACCCAACCCAAGTGCTCTCAACGTGAGTTGGGTGTGTGTGCGATTAGTTTGACTGACTTTTGATGGTGTGCTGTAAGCGTGTTTTATTTTCCTAGTGCACACTCTATTTACCTGCATTGTATTTTTTATCCTGTGAGCAGCCTTCGTGACATTAGTGGACGGCAAGAACCAGGGCATGTCCACAGCCGAGCTGGCAGGACCGGGGAGGAGCTCGAATCCACTACATGTTACTCATGTGCATCTCTTTCTTTTCCTGCTGCGTATCTTACCCTGAGCAGCCTTCGTGACGATAGTGGATGGCAAGAACCAGGGCATGTCCACAGCAGAGCTGGCGGGAGGAGCTCGAATCCACTACATCTTCCAAAGCATCTTTGTCAAATGCATCGACGTGAGTTTGGTTTATTGATGTGAGGTAAGTTCGGCGCATTGAGTTGAGTCCCATTTGATGTCCTAGACATCTTTGTCAAGGGCATCAATGTGAGTCACATGATCACATCGGGTCTTCCATATTCCATGTGTGCGTGCATGCGAGTTCAGTGCATGGATGTGAAGTTCCCTCCCTTCACTCCGTCCCTTCACTCCCTCCCCTCCCATCGTGCCTCTCAGGAGGTGGACCCCTGTGAGGACCTTTCAGACGAGGACATTCGCACAGCCATTCAGAACGCCACGGGAACGAAGAATGCGCTTTTCGTACCGGACGTAAGTTTAGCCTTCACCTATTTGTTGTATGCTTTCACTCACTTCTTGCGTGTCAGGTGTGAGTAAGTAATGCCTTGGTTATTTATCCGCTGTAACTGCTTCCCCAAATTCCTTTACGCTTCTCGTTCCGCCCATCCCCTCGGCTCGGCAGGTGCCCTTTGAGGTGCTGGTGAGGCGGCAGATATCGCGTCTGCTGGACCCCTCGCTTCAATGCGCGCGCTTCGTCTACGACGAGCTAGTCAAGGTGAGACTTTCTTATAACGAGGTGACCAGTCAAAAGCCACCCGTAATCACAAAGTTACAGAAATAGCGTCTGCTGGACCCCTCGCTTCAATGCTCACGCTTCGTCTACGACGAGCTAGTCAAGGTGAGGCACCTCCGCCCCCTCCTTCAGAGCAGCAAGGTGTATACGTTCAGGTGCGTTCAGGTGCGTTCGCTCACCTCATGCGCGCGTGTGTTTGCTGGACCCCTCACTTCAAGCCAGTTTCCATTCTTCTCCCTCCCTCCCTCTCCTGCTCTGTGCCTCACTCACAGATCGCTCATCGCTGTGAGTCGTACCAGCTGGCCCGCTTCCCTGTATTGAGGCGCAAGGTGGAGGAGACGGTGGGGAGCTTTCTCAGGGAGGGGCTCACTCCTGCTGAGACCATGATTCGGCACCTCATTGACATGGAGGTATGGGGATTTGGGCAAGGGGGGGTATGGGGTGGGTGGGTATGAACGTTCAACTTCTCAGGGAGGGGCTTACTCCTGCAAAGACCATGATTCGACACCTCATTGACATGGAAATATGTTTTGAATGGACTCAAAACTGCGCTGCCAAGGCTCACAAGAGGGTAGGTCCGTTCGGCGGAGTCGACGTGGAGACGACCATGAAGCTGTTTTGAAAAATACTGACGAGAGACATGAACCCTCGTCAGTATTTTTCGAAACTACTCCATGGTCGTCCCCATGTCGACTCCGCCAAACGGACCTACGCTCTTGAGAGCCTTGGCAGCGCACACACGGATGGCAGCAGTAGTGCGGTCCCCCTGCCGGTCGAGCAGGATTTTACGGACGACGTTCTTCGCACAGGAAAACGGAGGCAGAAAAATACATCAATACATCAATACATCAATACATCAATACATCAATACATCAATACATGGCATCCAAGCTTCATTGCTATGGCTTATCTTCACACTCTTTCCACCTGTTCTTCACCGCTAGGTTCCCCCTGCCTCCTTCCGTCTTGTATGACCAGATGGATATCAATACATCCCACCCTAGCTTCATGGCAAGCAGTAGGGATTATTTTCCACCACCTTTCCACCTGTTCTTCCCCCCTTCCTTCCCTTCCTTATATCCCCCCTGCTTCCTTCCGTCTTATGTAAGCAGATGGATTACATCAATACGTCGCATCCAAGCTTCATTGGGGGCAGCAGAGCCGTTGAGATTATCCTGCAGCAATTGAGGGTGAGTACACAAATACCCTTGAAATGTTGGAGCATTTGGGAAGTATGGTCGATGGATCATGGAGGTAGTTCCTTGGTTTAGCACTGGCAGCAATAGGTTAAAGGTTCAGATTGCTCGCCTTGTTTTGAACATGCAGCTGTGGTGCTTCGTTTAAATTCGTACGGTTAGAATCGTCCTGTTTTGTTGTGTGCCGTTTCCTCCCACGCCCCTTCCCCTACCTGCAGGGAAGAACAGTGAGGGCACGAGCAGCAGAGGCGGGTGCTGCACTGACAGCAGCGGGAGCAGGAGGGTAGCTTCGTATCGATTCACACTGAAAAAACGATTGTCCTGTTTCATTGTGTGTTGCGTCCTTCCTCCTGCCACTACACCACTCACACCTGCAGGAAGGGAAGGGCAGTGAGGGAGGAGGGCAGGGAGCAGCAGGGGCTGGCGCTGCTGGTGGTGCACTCACAGCAGTGGCAGCAGGAGGGGGGTCCCCGTCAACTGCTGCAGTGGCGTCAGTGGCAGCAGTGGCAGCAGGAGAGCAGCTTCGTTCTGAGTCCCACGGTTTGATTTCTCCTGTTTCATTGTGTGCTGCATGCTCCCTGTCCTTTCCACTCCCCCACACCTGCAGGAAGGGAAGGGCAGTGAGGGAGGAGGGCAAGGAGCAGCAGGGGTTGGCGCTGCTGGTGGTGCACTCACAGCAGCGGCAGCAGGAGGGGGGTCCCCGTCAACTGCTGCAGTGGCGTCGGTGGCAGCAGCAGCGAAGCAGAGGGTGATGCTGATGAGGAAGGAGGGAGCGGGGCAGGGTCAGGGAGGGCAAGAGCAGCAGCAGCAACAGGGGGGCAAGCAGGCAGCCACTGCAAATGGCACAGTGGCAGACAAACAAGGTAAGGATCTCTGGCACTAGTGATATTGTTCTTGTAATTGTTATGGTTATTATAGTTTTTGAGAGTGTTGCTCAGGAATGCCACAGCCCTAGCTCCTTTCCCCCTCAACTCTCTTCCCCCCTTGCTGCTCTCACCACCTTACTTGTTCCTCCCTCCCTCTCCTTCCTCCCACCTGCTCACAGGGTCCTCGTGGGGCGTCTCATCCATCTTCGGAGGGCAGGAGAGGAACCGAGCAGCAGTCTCATGTGCCACAGCGCTCACTCCCTTCCCGCTCACTCCCTCCTCCTGACTCAATCTCTCCCTCCTCCTGACTCAGTCTCTCCCTCCCTTCCTCCCTTCTGCTCGCAGGGTCCTCGTGGGGCGTCTCATCCATCTTCGGAGGGCAGGAGAGCAACAGAGGACCCCACCCCGCTGTCACAGACCTCACCCCTCGCCCCTTTGCGTCTGGCAGCAGTGAATGGTAATCAACGGGCCTCCTCTCATCATCTTCCTCTCGCGCCCTCTCCCTGCCACCTGCTCACAGGGTCCTCGTGGGGCATTTCGTCCATCTTCGGCGGGCAGGAGAGGAACCGAGGAGGATCCGTCTTGTCTGCCACAGCCCTCCCTTCCCCCCTGCCTCGCTTCCCCTTGATTCTCTTCATCTTTCATCCCTCCTTTCCCTCGCATCACAGGGTCCTCGTCGGGCATTTCGTCCATCTTCGGCGTCACAGCACTGTCTGGGGCCAACAAGCTCACTCTCGTGCTTCATCCTCCCCTCCCTCCCCTCGCATCTCAGGGTCCTCGTGGGGCATTTCGTCCATCTTCGGCGGGCAGGAGAGGAACCGAGGAGGAAACGTCTCGTCTGCCACAGCGCTCACGCCCTTCCCACTCGCTTCGCCTGAACCCATGTCTGCCCCTGGTGGTTCTGCTCCCAACGAGCCTGCATCCACAATCCTTCTCAGAGAGGTATACATTTGTTCTTCTATCAGTTTTGCCCCTGCCCCTCTCTTTGTACGCTTTCCGCTTCTGTTCTTCTCTTTTGGTTGCTTGGTTGGTGGGAGGCACTCTCAGGTGCGGAGCGGTGGAAGTGGGTTGGGGAAGGTTGGGTTACAGGTGGCCATGTTTGTTCTCTCGTTCACAGCCGTTAGGGTTTGTTTTGTCTTGTTTTCAAGGCCAGCGGAGCTGATTCTGAGACGATTTTTTAGGCGCCTCAAAAATCGTAAGGGTTTGTTTTGTCTTGTTTTCAAGGCCAACGGAGCTAGTTCTGAGCCTCAAAGGTAGCTCTGTGCCTGTTTGTGGGCAGAGCGGAGGTGTGCGGGAGGGGAGGAGGGGCAGGAGTGGGGTCCGCAGCAGCAGAGGCATTCTGGGAAGAAGAAGCAAGGATGCTGCAGCTTCAGCCACACGTGTCTTGACTACAGCAGCTGCTGTCCCTGCTGAAGCAGAACAGATGACCACAGCTGGGCCTGTAGTTTCTGTGAGAGGACCCAGCACCTTACAGTGGCAGCAGCAGCAGCAGGAGGGGCAGATAGAGTTAACAGAGCAGCAGCAGCCACCGCTGCGGGTGGTGATACAGCAGCAGCAGGTGAAGGAGCAGCAGCAGCGGCAGCAGCGACGGTGGTGGCGGCGGCAGCGGCAGGGGTGGGTGGGGATGGCGTTGATGGGGGCAAGACTCGTGCTGCATTCCATGGCAGCAGGGGGAGAGGTGCACTTACACACCCCTTTGGACCCTGATGTGAGAGGCATGGTGCATGCCTTGGCGATTCCTCACAATGACATGCCTGAGGGCATGCGTGTTGGGAATAGGGATGCGTCTGGAGGGGTTAAGAGGGGTGCAGATGGTGCTGTGCTGCGGGGAGGTGTGCAGCAGGCTCTGCCGTCTGGGGGAGGAATGAGTGAAGGGAGGGGGGATGGGGAGCAGGAAATGCACACCCAGTCGAGAAGAGGGGGTCAGGAGCAGGCGCAGGAGCAGCAGCAGGAGCAGAAACAGGAGCAGCATGCGCAGTTGAGAGGGGATGGTCAACAGGAGCAGCAGCAGCAGCGTGAGCAGCCGGAGGGGCGAGGAGACGAGTCAGCAGGCGCATCTGCCCGTGATGTTGTTTTCCAGGTGCTGGACCCAGCAGCACAGAACGAGCAACAGGAGCAGCAGCAGCAGCAGGAGCGAGAAAGTGGGTTGAAAAGAGGAACGGAGACGAGTGGGGACGCGGCTCGCAGTGACCCTTTCGGTGGTGCTGATGATATTGGCTATGTGAGGAGGGAAGCAGGTGGAAATGCGGCTGAGGGGGGCGAAAGGAACATGGTGGTTGACGATAGTGTTGCAGCAGAGGCAGGAGCGAGGCTGGAGCTTGGTGGGGGTGATGAGAAAGAGAGTGAGGCGCAGCCAATGGGGAGGTTTGTTGAGGACGCTAGGTTGGAGGTAACACCAACTGCTTCTGGGAGGCTGAATGAGTCTGCCCACTGTATAGACCCCATGTTTAGTCATAGAAGTGAAGACCAATTTCAACACCAACAGCAACAGCAGCAAGAAGAGGCACAGGCCAATCCTTGGGTAGCAGATGGGGATGTTGTAGGGAGCAGACAAAGAGACAGCATGGGTTGGCTGAGAGACAGGCAGAAGCAGAGGCAGAGCAGCAGCGGGACAAGACGCAGGAGCATCTGGCAGCAGGAAGGTTACAACCACAATTACAGCTACAGCTACAGCTACAGTAGCCACTTGGGGTTACCCTATGCAGCGTCAGCATCAGTGTCATCACCACGGCTCTCCCGATCGCCACGAGCAGCAACAATGGACGAGTGGGAGTGGCTGCAGCAGCAGTCACAGCTAGCCGTCTCCCTGCCCCGTGTAGGGTCCTATCCCGGTGCCTCTGGGGTGTGGGCGAAGCAGAAAAGAGCCTTATTTTCTAACATGTTGTGGCCTCCCTCTCGTGTTTGGTCCTGTGTGTTGTTGTATCTGCTGTTTTCTCTTGCTTGGAGTGGGAGTGGCTGCAGCAGCAGTCGCAGCTAGCCATCTCCCTGCCCCCTATAAGACCTACCCTGTGCCTCTGGGCTGGGGGGTGGGCGAGGATGGGAACAGAAAGATCTCTAAATGTCACGAGGATGGGCGAGGGTGGGCGTGTTGCGGCAATTCTTTCGTGTTTGGTCCTGTGTGTTGTTGTATCTGCTGTTTTCTCTTGCTTGGAGTGGGAGTGGCTGCAGCAGCAGTCGCAGCTAGCCATCTCCCTGCCCCCTATAAGACCTACCCTGTGCCTCTGGGCTGGGGGGTGGGCGAGGATGGGAACAGAAATCTCTAAATGTCATGAGGATGGGCGAGGGTGGGCGTGTTGCGGCAAATCTTTCGTGTTTGGTCCTGTGCGTTGTGCCATTATGGTTTTCTCTCCTCTTCTTTCTTCCTCCTCAGTGCTTCAAGTCTTTTTCCCCCCATCACCTCTACCCCTTTCTGGTCTCTATCCCCTTGCAATTGCCTCCCTTTTCCCACCCTCGTTTCTCTTTCTCGTACCCGTCCCCACCCTTCACTCCTCCTGTTCTTTCCAGCGTTATCTCTCTCCTCCCTCATGCCTTTTGTTCTCCCTAAATTGTTAAAACGGGTAGCGTGTGTGCATTAGGGCATGGAGATTTGAGTGATTTGTGTGTGTTTTCTTCATCTTTTGTTTCCTCTCTCCTTTCCGTCCCCTACCTCCCCTCTTCTGCCTCTTCCCCTTTCTCTCCCTACTGTGTTCCTCCAGCCGCCCTCGATTTTGCGAGCGAGCGAGCAGCGATCAGCAGAGGAGGGCGTGGAGATCGGGGTAACCCGCTTACTCTTAAAGTCATACTACGACATTGTGAGGAAGAACATTCAGGATGCGGTACCCAAGGCGATCATGCACTTCCTGGTGAGTGTGTTTGGCGGTGGGTGGGTGGGTGGGTGAGTGGTCCTTGCATGCTTGTCATTGTGAGGGCGTGAGGACTGGACTGGGTGTCTTGGCTGCTGCTGCTCCTGAAGTCATGCTACGGCATTGTGAGGAAGAACATTCAGGATGCGGTACCCAAGGCGATTATGCACTTCCTGGTGAGTTGTATTGTGTGGTGGGGTTGCTGCTGGTTCCCTGCTGGATAGGGGTGACTCGCCTCCTCTCGCTCACTCGACCCTTTCTTCCCTTATCGCCGTGTGTGAATCTTCCGTTTTTACCCCCCATATTCCAGGTTAACCATGTGAAGAGGGAGCTACACAGCGTGTTCATCCAACAACTGTACAGGTAAGCTGATTGGTCAATGTGGTGCAAGAGTGGAATTTTATTGCACAAGGGATTGAACAGATCGAATTCGGTGCAAGGGAGCTGCACCCGGTGCTATGTCAAACCCTTTTGTATTCCGGCTCTGTGAATTGCAGGGAGGCGCTGTTCGAGGAGATGCTGCAGGAGAGGGAGGACATTGCATCGAAGCGGCAGCGGTGCAAAGACATATATGCAGTGCTGCAGCAGGCCGCATGGGTACGTAACGTGTTTGCATTTGAAGCAGAGTGTGAGTGCATGAAGGTGCAAGCTTGAAGCAGCAGCGGTGTAAATATGTTCATGCAGTGCTGCGGGCAGACTGCTTGGGTAATCTCTCTTGAAGATAATCCGACTTCACTCCAACTCCCCCTTTTTCTCCCTCTCCCCCTCTCCACACCCTTCCCCTTCCCGTTCCCCTTCCCCCCAACAGACGCTGGACGAGCTCCCAATAGACCCAGACGCCCCCTCTCGCCCCTCTGGACCTTCCCTACTCCTTTCTCCTGTCTAACCCCCTTTTTTCCCTCTCTCCCTCTCCACACCCTTTCCCTTCCCCACATCCCCTTCCCCCCAACAGACGCTAGACGAGCTCCCATTAGACCCAGACGCCCCCTCTCGCCCCGCCTCCTCTGCTCTCGACGCCACCGGTCTTCCCCCGTCCTCCGGCCTCCTTCCACCTTCTCCTGGCTACCCCTCTCCCGCCCCCTCGTTGCCCTACCGCCCTGCACTCGCCTCTGCTGGTGGTGCTGGTGGTGGCGGTGGTTCTTCATATGGCTACGGGCATGGACGGGGATTGAGCAGCAGAGAAGGGGGGATGGCGCCCATTCCTTATGGCACTCCAAGCAGTCAGGTATGCCTAACAAAAAAAAAGAGGTGTGCTGGTTCCACACATCTATCTGCAATCAATGATATCTGTTTTCAAGCTGTCGCATCCACCCGTCCCAGAGGGGAGGATCACAAAAAATCAATAACTCACTTTAATCACCCTTTGTCCATTCTCCCTTCCCCTCTCCCTTCCCCTTTCACTCCCTCACCCCGCTCTCACCACCCCCTGTTTCCCATTCCCACGCACAACACTCTCTGCCGTTCCACCAGCAGCTGTCCCGGCCTGATGGGCCTCGCAGTATCGTCCATGCATGATCATCAGCACATGGTAATGCATATGTGATTCTCAACAGATGGCGATGCAGACACGATGATTACCATCTGGCATTGCTTACATGGCCATCCATTCCTTATCATCAGCACATGGCAATGTGTGCATGATCGTCAGCGCCACGTGGCGATGTGCTCATGACCATCTGTGCCACGTGGCGATGCGTGCATGCATGCCCATCAGCACATGAGCAGTCTCACATGACTGCTGTCATGAACAGTGTATGTTTCGCCATTTTCAAGCAGTCGTGCCATCCACAGTCACTTCGCACCTTCAGCGCCTACCTTCCGTGAAGCTCAAGCGCATGGTTTGTGCTACGGTACCAAGGCAGCCCTCCCGTTCACAACCATTGATTTTCAAGGCCATGTGTCATGTGTTATGGTGGTTACTTTACACTGAATCTTGATGTCCAGAGAATACAACATATATATGTTGTAACATATCGAATAATGTGGCTTAGCTTCAGATTCTCCTGCATATCTTCCAACAGGCAGCTCTAGCAGTATTTGCACTCAGATTCCTACATCTCAATTACCGTATTCATGTCTTTTGGATTCACAACATTCTACGGTAACAAAAGTCAAGTCGTTGCCCACTCAGAAAGCTACGCATATCAGGAATGGGTGAAGGGAGGGAGAGTTCAGCTAAGAGACGGGGTCAGGGCTTCAGATTCGTTTTGGGCCACCCTTAGTAATCAGGGTTCTAGGTGTAGTCAACCCTGATGTGTAGGGTAAAATTTTTGTTTCCCTGACAAATGCAGGGTAAAAAACAGTTAGTCTGTTTGGGCAGGGTATTCTTGAAAACTTGTGATTAGTTAAAATCATGAAGCACTCAAGATCAATGGCTAGTAGTTTAGCTGGTCAATCGCGCATTAGATCTGTAATCGTAAGTTCAAATCTCACTAGTGGTATCGTTTTGCTGGGACCTGTATAGTGTTTCGTCTCGCTACGGAGCACTTAGTACCAGTATAGCTTGGATTGTACACTGTACAGTCAGAGTAATGTGTTCCTTATGCTGTTTTTCAAAGGGTATTGAAAAACTTACACTTTCTGGCCTAGGGTAAAAAATCCACTACCCTGCCTGTGAAAGGGTAACTGAAAAAAGCGGCCGCCAGTCAGTGCAAAAAGGGTATTTTACCCTGATAACGAAAGGCCTGGACGGGGTGGCCAATAGACAGAGAGTTATCCAACATGAAGCATGGCTATTTGAAGCAAATAAACTTATATACCTACTACTAAGCACTATGTTGCTGCTAGGTCAGGATCTAACGAAGGTCAGCCCATGCATGTCCCGGAGGCCACGGCGCAGTGCACGGGACATGCCATCAAGCGCTTGCTTGCACCATCTGACATTCAACTCTTGCAGCACCTTCAGCTCCGTCAAATCCTCTGGCAACACCTTCAATCAATCACAGCCAAATAGATTCAGTGTCCTCAGCCTGGTCAGCAGTGCAAACCTGGAAGGGAGATGATGGATGTTTTGTTAAGTCTAAGCACGCAGAGGCAGCGGAGCTGTGTGAGCGAAGATGGTAACTTCTGTAGGGCGTTACAATCTGATAGATCCAGCTCACGCAGCCTGGATAATCGACCGATGCCATCGGGGATCGAGGTAAGCTTGGGTGCAAGGACCTTCAACAATGTCAGGTGTTGGAGCTGTGAAACCGTTTCTGGCAACTCCCGAAGTTCCTCAAAGTTACATAATCGCAAATCCCGCAGCTGCTGCACTGCGGAGCCGAAGTTTTCTGGAAGGGTCTGAATCCTTTTACCATTCAAGATACTCAAGACGTGGAGATGGCCAAGTGAGCTCCAGGGAACGGAAAGCCTCTCCACGCCATCTGCCAATCCCAGCTCCAAGTTCCTCAGACAAATTGGTTGGGAGATTTTGAGGGAATGAATCGACCTGACCGTTGTTCTTCCAAGACAGAACCTCCAGGGAAAGTGGCAGCGACGTAGGAAACTGACTCAGCCGTTCACACAACACGACCCTCAGCCGCTTAAGCTTTCCAAGGCTGCTTAGCCTTCTCGGCAGCAAAGATACCCTTGGACAAAACTCAATGGTCAAGGTTACAAGGCTAGGGAGCGTTGAAACAGAGTCTGGAATCCTCCTGAGTGCAGAACACCCATGAATGTTTAGATGCTGCATGTTCCTCAGTTTTTCCAGACCATCTGGCAGCTCTTCAATCTCACAGTGGCTGAGCTCAAGACTTGTGAGAGAAATCAGCTGCGTGAACGAAGCAGGGAGCTGCTCCAGAATGCATCCACGCACGTGAAGAGTCTCTAGGCTGCTGAGCCATTCCATCCTCTCAGGAAGCACCACCCCCCGAAGGCTCAATGTCTTGAGAGATGTGAGGCTGCTGAACTCTTCTGGCATCTGACGGAGCCTAAGTGTGCAGTGATGTAGGAACAGCCGCTCCAGAGATGTAGCTTGGCAGAGCGAGTCAGGTAGCTCCGAGAGCAGAATGCTCTCCAGCATGAGTGACTTGAGAGCAGCAAACTGTCCAAATACATCCGGCACGCTGTAAAGCCGGTTACTCTCAGTAATGGTCAAACACTCCAATGCACGTAGGGAACTGATACTGTCCGGGAGTTGGTCGAGCTGGTGGCAATCGCGAATAGTCAGCTCACGCAGGCACGGCAACAGCTCTCCAAAGTCATCGGGAAGGCGCTGGATGTTGGCGGATTTCGTGATCACGAGCTGCTCTAGACGGATCCATGGCCTTCTTGTAGGGAACAATGAAGTGAAACTAGGACTAGCCAGCTGGAACTCGAGAGTCTTCAGCTGAGCAACTTTGAGAGTTGCAGCTGGTGAATCATTCTTGTACAGGTGGATTTCACTGGAAATAGAAAGTTTAGAGAGACTTGAAATGCGAGCGAAGGCTGACAGCTGTTTATGTGTCAACCTCGGGATAGCAATATGGAGAGAAGTCAGAGATGGAAGTCTTGCAAATTGGGAGAGTGTGACGGCTGAAATGTCTGTTAGGAAAACCGTGTGGAGATGCTGCAGCTGAAAGAAAGTATCCGGCAACTCGGCGTTTTTATGAAGGCAGTGAAGGGAAATCTCCTCCAGCTGATTGCACTTCAGGAAGAAATTCTCGAGACCGGCTTCAGTAACTGGGTGGCCATTCTTGCTCCCTCCACACCCCGTCGATGTGATCCTGCGACCCACGTGAAGAGCTTTCAGCTTAGGTCGTGAGGAAGCAAGGTGAGCGAGGAATTCGTTGTCAACAATTTCGACACTCCCGTCGCGCAGGTGAAGATTGGTGAGGTTGTCGAACAAAGCCAATGCGTTCGCCAAGTCTTGACGAGATACGAAGCGGTTTTCTTGGACTGAGAGACTCGTGACCTGACGTTTGACGAGTTGACGCCAGCGGCAGCATACTGACGCGATGAGCAGATTGTGTGCTGCATCTGCAAAGGCTGGAGGAATGAATGTATTCGCCCTAGAATGCCATTTAGGAAGTGAGCCACTTGAGGAATTAATATCAGTCTGGGAAGGCATCCCATCCAGGAACCACAGAATCCTCGTGAGGAGATCATCTGAAAGTCGATTAATGTGTGAGAGACGCTCCATGACTTAAGGAAAATGTTTGAAGCGACATCTGGTTGTCCAAGCCGAAATCCACCAGGAAATGTAGAAGGTCGGACATATGATAGGAGTAAGAAAGTTGCTCATACGATAGGAGTACGAATCTTTCGCAAGTCATCATTTCTTCTCTACTACAGAGACTCGATCACGGCTCAGCATGCTAGCCAGTGGTTTGGAGGTAAGGTGGGTAAGGAGCTGACAACATCAGTGGGGGGGAATGCCTCCTCACCTTGAACAAGCTCGAAAGAAACGGCTTCCGTGATCTCTTCAAGTTCAGGCTGACATGTTCCCTGACAAAGTTGAACAGACTAGTGGTTGGTCGGTCTTGGCTTAAAGCTCGCGGCCCAAATTGTACAACTTTACTAAAGTTGCATGTTGGGAGGTGAGGGAGCAGGGTTGGCTAGTCGAGGTGTTGGGCGGGTTGAGGGCTTTGGTTTCGCCCAACTTCTCGCCAATCTCAAACACATTTCGCTGACTCAGTAGACCCCAGGGGCCACTTCGCGTTTGGTTGCATGAGTCCCATATTGCACAAATACTATCCTTGCCAGTTTCCCACCCAACCCCCTCCGCAAACACTGTTTCAATTTTGCTAGCCAATCAGCTCAGTGTTTCAAATTGACTAGCCAATCAACTTCCTTCGTACAACCCGTAACCTCAATTCGCAAAACCAGGACCTGCAAAACAACTATCAATCAACCTTACTAAGGTTGCCCAGCGCGGCCCCAATTTGGGCCGCGAGCTTTAAGGGGATCAGGTCGTATCCACGTCAAGTGTCAAGAGGGGCTAGTGTCATGACACCAACTCGGAGGACTATCCCTCCTGGTGTCAGCTTAACCGACCGATGTGATCGCGGGAAAACGCTCAATGTCTTGAAATTGAAGTAAATGATTAGGAAGGGTAAAGAGCAAGTAGAGAGAAAGAAAACTCCTAGAAGAAAGAGTTAAGAGTGAAGTAAGACGAAATTGATAAGATAAAGAAACATATGAAGAAGAGTTTGAGTAAGAACGTAAAGGCTAAAAAGGTTAAGGATAAAAATAACAAACTTCAAAGGAAGATGATGAAAACATTTAAGGGAGAGAACAATTGATTGAAAGAAAGATATTGAGTGGGTGATTGATGAGAAGGTAAAAGAGCTTGAAAATTAAATAAACTTGATAATGGAAACTAAGATTTGAGAAGAAATGATACTTGATAGAAATGAAGAGGCTTTGAATAGGGAAGCTTTAATTGAGAAACTTGACAAGAGTGAAAGGAGGAGGTGACTTGCCTTAAAGAGTCTTACTTGTCATTTTGAAGGAGCTTTGTAACTTGAAGAAGCCAAGCTTGAATTGTGAATCTTGATTGTTGGAAGGAGAGTGAGATCCAAGCTTGATTGTTGAGTAGATCTTGATTGTTGAGTGGAGAAGCACCTCCAAGCTTGAGTGTTGAGGTGTAGATCTTGTTTATTGTGTAGAGAAGAACCTCCAAGCTTGAGTGTTGAAGGTGAAGCTTGAGTCTTGATTAGAAGAAAGTCAAAGGTTGATGTTGAGGCCTCAAAACTTAAAATGCACTAGTCCAAAGGAGGTATATGATGGTCTTAAAGAGCAACCATTGAAACAATCTAGTAGAAAGACTATGAAGCATAAGCTTCTCTAGAGTTGGAGAACATGGCTATGAGCTTGGATTGGGAGAGGTTGGTGGTGAGTGGAGCCTTAGGAGTTGGGCATGA